TCAGATTGGGAAGTCCTCTGACTAAATTTAATTTATTTAGTTGAGAGATTTTTCTAAGACTGGCATGTCCCAATCTTCTGTGCCATACCCATTTCTCATCGCTAACAGACAAAAGGCATTTAACGTTCTGAGATTTAAGATCTGATAAATAAATTTTGTAAATGTTGTTCTTTCTCTTGCCAGAAAAGAGGATTGATCCATCTTTTTGACTTACAGCTCTACAGGAGTTTTGATTGCAGATAATGTCATAACCATTGTCACTTAATTGACTTATGGACAATAGATTATGAGCTAATCCTTCTACTAATAAAACATTAGAGATAGAAGGAAGGTTACCGTTTCCAATGGTTCCAGAACCAATAATCTTCCCTTTCTGATTACCTCCAAACTTCACGTCTCCTCCAGCTTTAAGTTCCAGGCTTTAGAACATAGACCTTTTTCCCGTCATGTGTCTTGAGCACCCAGAGTCCAGGTACCATGACAGGTGTCTCAATTGAGCTGTTAAGGACATCTGTAACAAATATTATTTTATCCTTAGGTACCCATATCTTTTTGGGTCCTTTTGGGTTAGCATAAGAGTTTCCAGAATGTGATGTATATTTTATATCATGTGAGTGTCCAAACATGAATTGTTTATTCAGAGTTTTGTAAGTGAAACTCATTTTAGCAACAGGTTTTGGTATGTATGTTTCCTTCCCTTTGGGAGGTTTATATCCAATTCCTCTTCTGTTTTTCCCACTAACTCCATAGATCATTGAAGCTATTTTGCTTCTATCTATGCTTTTAGCTAGGAAAGTTTGAAAACTATAGTCATATTCTTTCAGAATATCTTTTGAACTAGACACAGATTCTGAATTAGAATTTTTTTGAACATTTTGAATTTCTTCTTTAAGTTTAAAATTATTTTCTAAGAGTTCAGATTTTTCTACTTCATGTTTCTCAATATCATATGCAAGACTCTTCTTGAGTTTCTTGTATTTGATTTTGAGTTTACTATATTTTTCCATAAGTTCTGATAAACTATCAGCAAGTTCATTTCTAGTGAATTCAGAAAATACCTCTCTTTGTTCTGACTCACAGTCTGAGTCATCTGTTGTGATAGCCATCAGAGCTAGGTTGGCATTTTCATCTTCAGAACCAGATTCATCTTCAGAAGAATCTGAGTCATCCCAGGTTGCCATCATCCTTTTCTTCTTACCAAACCTCTTCTTTGGTTTTTCTTTTTGAAGCTTTGGACAATCACATTTGTAGTGACCAGATTCTTTTCATTCATAACAGATGATCTCTCTTCTGTTTGACATTTTGTGTCTTGAAGATTCAGGTTTATCTTCTGACTTCTTGAAGTTCCTAAACTTATTTTGTCTGTGCTTCCACAGATGATTGATCCTTCTGGAGAGCAAAGATAGTTCATCTTCTTCTGACGCTGATTCTTCAGAGTTTTCCTCTTCAGCCTGAAAAGTGTTAGTATCAAATTTCTTAATTGATTTAAGGGCAAGAGACTTACCTTTCTTCCGAGGCTCGTGCTCATCCAGTTCAATCTCATGACTTCTGAGAGCGCTGATGAGTTCCTCCAGAGACATGTTGTTCAGATCTTTTGAAACTTTGAAAGCAGTAACCATTGGTGCCCATCTTTTGGGTAAGCTTCTGATGATCTTTTTCACATGATCTGCTTTGGTATATCCCTTGTTCAAGACTCTCAGACCAGCGATCAGAGTTTGAAACCTAGGGAACATTGCTTCTATAGACTCACTTTCTTCAACTTTGAAGGCTTCATACTTCTGAACTAAAGCTAGAGCTTTAGACTCCTTAACTTGAGAGTTTCTTTCATGAGTCATTTTAAGAGACTCAAACATATCATGCGTTGTATCTCTATTAGTGATTTTTTCATATTCTACTTTAGAGATAGCATTTAGAAAAATATTTCTAGCTCTATGATGATTTTTAAATTCAGCTTTTTGTAGTCTATCCATATTTTTCTGTCAACTTTGTTTCCTTCTGAGTCAGTAGGATGTGTGTAACCATCCAGGACTATATCCCATAGATCACTATCATGACCTAGAAAGAAACTTTCTAGTCTGTCTTTCCAGTACTCAAAATCTTCTCCATCAAAAACAAGAGGTTTGTTGTAACTATTGTTATTTTGTTCAGCAACCATTGTGTTTTCTTCTGGATCTTTTCCTGACACGGTTAAGTGTTGTGCTCAGAGTCAAGCTCTGATACCAATTGAAGGGGTAAGAAAAAACTTAGAAGGGGGGGTTTAATAAGTGACTCTTTTTCTTTTCAAAACAAAGTTCAATAATAATGGAAGGACAAGGTTATTTTTATCCTGGTTCGTTTGAACTCAAACTACTCCAATCCATCTGTCAAGGTGATTTCTCCTTTCTCAACAAGGACTTAATCCACTATAATCAACTGATTACAAACACACAACAACTGTTGTGACTAACAATGCACAAGTAATCTTACAAGTGACTAACACCACTAAGACTTAAATCTAGTCCTAGTCTGCTTGAGAAATCTGACCAAACTTGGTCTCTCAAGGAACAATTATAAGAGTTTAATCTTACAGATATTGAAATAAAATTTTCTTCTAATCAAGCTATATCACAACTGTGATTTTTCACTTAGAATAAGTTTGCACAAAGTGTGTGAACAAAGAGTCTGTGAGCCCAGAATTTTTCACATAGTTTCTTGCTTCTTTTTTTGAAAGTTGATTGGTTGGTTGGCTTGCAATAAATGTCCTACTATATATAGTAAGAACAAGATGACCGTTGCTGCCTTCAGAAAAAATGGAGAGAATTAAATGCTTGCGTGTTTTCTTGCACTATTCCATTTTCCAAGAAACTAGCTTAGACACTTGAGTGCTTGCAGCCATCTTTGCATTAATGAGCAAACGACAACTTGTAAGAGCATGTTTCCTACGCTTGACAAGACAAGTAGGCTTTAACGTTCTTACAGAACTTGCTTCAACGTCTTGAATTCAGAACATGCTTTACTCATCTTCTAGGAAGTGCTTTGCTTGCTAAGAACTCGATCAGCGCTTGCTTTCAAGTAATCTTCTGAGCAAGGAAACCTGCTAAATGTTAGAAGATATATTTAAATAAATTGTCTTACCAGAGTCAGCAAATGCGCTTAAAACAAAAAGGTTCTTTCATCAAAGAATTTATTATACTTTTTTTGCTTAGTACTTCAGAATGCTTCTGTCAGAACATTATCTGAAACAATCAACTACGTTTATCAGAGTATAAATTATCTAAGATATAATTTATTGTTATCATCAAAACTCTGATATAGATCAGAACTAATCTTGTTCTAATAGAGATGCATGTTAAAGCAAAAGAATTTGCCAAAGTCTTTATGAGGAGAAGTTGTTTTGACTGCAATTTATATTTTGAATAGGTGTCCTACCAAGATATTGATGAACAAGTTTCCTGAAGAAGTATGGAGTGGCAAACGACCATCAATGAATCATTTGAAGGTTTTTGGCTCTATGTGTTACAAGCATGTTCATGATGCAAGAAGAAGGAAGCTTGATGACAAGAGTGAACCTATGATTCTGGTAGGATATCATAAAACTGGTGCATACAGACTATTCAATCCAGTTAATGAGAAGATTGTATTGAGTCGAGATATTGTGATTAATGAAAATTCTGCCTAGGATTGGAATTCTAGCAATTCAGTTAACAAGCCATTGATGAGTTCTGATGTTGATGAAGAAACTCATGAAGTAGAGGTCGAAGGAATTATTGATAATCCAGTCGAAGTCAAAGAAGAAGCAGTTACTGACATTCCCGACACAGTCGAAGTCGAAGAGGTTATGGCTAAAACAAGCCAAAGACCTCAAATAAATAGAATTCTTCTAATAAGACTTCATGATTATAAAGTGGTGGGTGATGATAAAGTCACACCAGATGGAGAATTAGTTCATTTTGCTTTACTTGCAGGTGCTGAACCAATTAACTATAGTGAAGCTTTGAAGACTAAACAATGGAAGTTAGCTATGGTCAAAGAGTTACATGCAATTGAAAGAAACAACACATAGGAGTTAGTCGAATTTCCAGCACATACAAAAGCTATCAAAGTAAAGTGGGTATTCAAGTTGAAACATAATGTTGATGGCTCGATAAAAAGATATAAAGCAAGATTAGTAGCTCAAGGGTTTCTTCAAAGAGAAGGACTCGACTACTCTTAATTATTTGCTCAAATAGCAAGATTGGAGATTGTTTGACTAGTGGTAGCATTGGCATGCAACCAAGGATCATCGACATTTCATTTAGATGTGAAATCAGCATTTCTGCATGGAAGAAGTTAACATATTGAAGCAAGGTTTCACTTCTTGAGGGAAAAGGTAAATCGAGGTGAACTTGAAGTAAGGTATTGCTCGAGTGAAGCATAATTGGATGACATTTTCACTAAAGGATTGAAGATTGACAAATTCCTGAATTTGAGAAAGAAATTAGGAATAGTTCAGATTGACTATTTTTGAGGATGTTCGATAACTTGGATTATGGGGGGGGGTGTTGAAATATTAAATTAGAATTGTTAGAATACTAAATTAGATTAGATTTGATTAGATTTAATATTTAAGTATAATCCAAGTTGTATAGACCCAAGCCCAATTAGGGTTGTATATAAATAGTCCTAGTCTGTATCATTATTTGTACAACTCAATAATATAAATCCTTATTTCCTTTATTATTCCCTCTTTCTCTCCTCACTAAAGTGCCTCACGCACTAACAAAAACAATATAAATTTATACATAATTTGGTTTTGATAACAGTGTAAATTTTGTATTATGTGTTTCAGTGGCGGAGACAAAAATATTATAAAGCCTGCGCAGACAAAAAATTAAAGACTGTAAATTCATATTATATATTAATATATAAATAGTCATCAATCAAACTAGAAGAGACTCATCTTGTCAAAAAAATATAGTTTAAAATAAAAGAGATAAACATAACCTTACAATAGAGGGTTAAATAAAATCACAAGGCAAATGTCATTTTCGAGACTTCATTGCGGTGAATGTTCGAATAATATCAATATCATCAAGTGATTTGAATATCTTCTGTTCGATGTAACATACCATCAAGTCATTGAACCATACATCGTTGATCTTATTGCGTAATTTAGACTTGATAATCTTCATTGCTGAAAAAGCTCTTTCAACGGATGTTGTCGACACCGATAATATCACAGTTAACTCAATAAGTTTATAAACCAATGGAAATACCAAATGTTTCTCAGTTTGAACCATCTTTATAGCCAAACTTTGAACATCTTCAAAAGTGGAAAATGAAGTATTTCTTCTAACTTGAAGAACATAAGTGTCAAGTTGATCCCTTATTGTTTCTCGGACATCATCAGAAAAGTCTGCATGATAAATATCAGCAAGATGAGCAAGCTTATCAACATTAAATTTAGAGAAAGAGTTCTTGGGGTCAAGACATGAGAAACAATTAAGGATAATGTTACTTCCTTCACTAAAGCGATGATCCATCTCCACACATATTTTGTCAATAGCAACATAAAAAATATATGCAGGGTAATGGTAAAGATTAGTGATAGTCCTCCCTTCTACCCTTGAACGACCCTGAACTGGTATTTCATCATCCATATTTGGAACCAGAATACCTTTAGCAACACAAAAATCTTGGACATCGGCAAATAAATTATCCCAACCACTCTCTCTTGTTGTGGCCAACCGAGCTTTGACGTCATCAACTAATTCCATGGCAATCACAATATTAATATATTTTCTTTGCAAGACATTTGAAAGCTCGTTTATGATGCCAAATAACGTTAACATTAACTTCAAAATGAAAGAAAATTTAAAGATCTCCATTTTTCTATCAAACCCGCTGCTTGAGATGGTCCACGTCCATCTTCATCAACCATACTAAGCACCTTTAACACATAGGTCCACATTTGATCCAAACGAAGCAATGTAGTATGATGTGAATCCCATCTAGTATCCCCGAGTCTAGTGACACTAGATGATTGGTGCAAGCCATTTCCTCTAGATATCTCACTACTCTCAAGTTTATTTAAAATACCTTGGTGTCGTGCCTCCGTCAAAGCATCATTCCTCTTACAAGATGCACTTGTTGTGGTCACAATCAAGGATATGTACTCAAAGAAATCATAAATAGATGAGAAACGACTAGCAACAGACACAAGAACCAATTGCAAACGGTGAGCATAGAAATGAACATAGAAAGTGTGATCGGTGGATCTGGAACTGACTGTTTAACGCTGGTTCGCGAAATGTCGCGGAAGCAAGAGTCGCCACCGTCTTTTATTTTCTCCAAATGGAAAGGACAAAAGCACAGAAAAATTCCTTATAGAGATTGCTCTCGGTTCGGGAGGTAGGTTATAGAAAGGGAAGGTGTTAGCACCCTTTCTATCCATGGTTATCCATGGGCTCTTAGATACTTGCTCAATGTGTTTTCAAAATTGTTTGTTTGCTTTTCAACTGTGGGTTTAAAAAGTTTCTTTGAAAAATTTCAGTTCGACTCGTACGTCAGAGTGTTTGAAAAAATTGCTTTGAAAGCTTTTGAAAAGTGTCGGTGTGAAAAGATTTCAGTTTGTTTTGAAGAGAGCAAGTATCCATGAGTCGTCTACCTACCCTAAGGAATTCGTCTGTGTAAATGTCCTTTAAAGTAATGCCATCCCACCATTGAGAGGTAGGTAGCACCACCGTTGGAGGTGTTCGGGTCAATTCGAGTTTGTAGGGACATGGTGATCACCGGAGCAATGGGAAGACACCTTAAAAGCTACCCTCATGCCAGGTTCCCGGATCATGAGGACTTACTAAGACATCCTCTACTCGACGATCACCTTTCGAGGGCAAGGCAACAGTGAGGCGTACGCTAGGGGTGGTGTGTGCGATTCGTGTGTCGTTTTCATTGATATTTGTCTTGTCATGTTCATTGTGATCTACGCTTGATTTTAATTAGGGCCATTCATTCTTGCATGCTTATTTAACAGTTAATATTTGCGAGGAAAATAAAACTAAAGCTATTACAAATGGCGCGGGTCCACATCGCCAAAATTAAACCGGACCCGATTTGACTGAAAATAAATAAAGCAATAAAATAAAAGTGCGAGAAGTAAAATTGTTACAACGCTTTGGGAGAATTGCATAATTATAATAAACGACATAAAATAAATGCGCGAAATTAAATAAATTACGAACATGGGCGTTGGACCCTTTTGCAAAAAATTAAAGTTAATGAAGGATTGAAATTAAAATTTAAAAGAAAATGTTTTTTTTAGATTTAATAGAAAAAGAGAATTAATTCAAATTAAAATAAAATGTCAAACCCTAATTCTAATTTTTTTTTATTAAGAAAATATTGAAATTTTTAACTAAATGAAACCCTAATTTTTATGTACAATTTAATTATGAAAATAAATAAATAAATAATATTATGATAAAAGGAAAAATTAAAAAGGATGAAAATTAAGCCTAAATTCTATATTTTTTATGTTTTATTATGAAAAGAATTAAGATAAACCTAATTAAACTAATATTTAATTGTACAATTATTTACAAGAACATATTAAAATAGAATATTTATTATATTTTTTTGGTCTTTTCTGATTTTTAGGAAGTTTTTGTATTTTTGTAAAAAAAATAATTAATTAAATTAATAAAGGAAATAAAATCATAATTGAAAATAAAAAATAAAAAAATATAGAGAAGCAAACCAGGGGGGGTTCAGGCCCCAATTGTGAGGTGTTGGCTTTAGAATTCTGGCCCAATTAAGCATGGCCTTCTTTGACTTTTTGCTAGCATGCTTCAGTGTTGACTGGAGTTTAGGGTGTACTTCCAATCTGTGCCCTTGGTTTGATCTCCAGGGGGACGTGTCACGCTTGATGGTGAGGGACTATGGTGGTTGTCCACATAAGCGCTGCATAGGAGTTGGAATTGAAAAATAGCATGAAATATTATACAGACCTGGGAATCGAACCCAGGTCTTGCACCTCACCAGCCAACACCTGGACCACTACGCCATTTGGTGCGTTGTTAATATATAATAACAATTAAACAATATAAAAGAAAAGCAAAGTTAGTGGGAGTCAACGCGCCAATTTTTAAACCAACGAATCACTTGATGCCACAATTCCATCTTCTTCGTCGTCCCTGTAAACTAAAACATTGGGCAACGGTTTTCAGAGCGTGGTTTTAGAGGGCTTTTGGAAAAATAGCGATTAAGCCTCAGGGCTCTATAAATTGAGCGCGAACATTCATTCTTCTTCGTCCAAGCTTGCTGATTTGAATGGTCATGGTTTCGTGGGCTAATTTTTCCCCATTGCAAAAGCCCCAAATTAAAGCTCTGTAAACCCTAAAAAAATAACCATGGCGATTTCTCGTATAGCTTATAAAAACACAATTAACTCATCCAGTTAGCTTCAGAACACATTACTCAATCAAAATGCATAATTAAAATGCCATGAAAACGTTTGAATCTGGAAATACGAATTTGAAAAATATAAGGGAAAAGTGAGTTTCTGTATACCAATTCAACGCGTTGGGATTGATGTTCTTGATTGCAATACGTTCTATGTTACCCAAGGAAGCTAATGGGATCAGTATTATGCCTTGAATCCACCTGAAACAATGATTTCAGAATTGCTTTTTATGGAGAAAACTTCAAGTTTGTCTATGGTCTTTGAGCGCAGCATTCAGTGTCCTGTGATTAGGGTTAGACTCAGTACTTATGAGGGAAGGGAATTAAGTCATTAGCTGGCCTTGATCCATGCCCATGAGAGAACTAGTCTTAGGTTTTTCACCATTAACAAACTTTCCCTTTTTTAAGCAAAACCAAGACTTGGTGTACAACCTAACCCTAGCATGAGTTTGTGAGCTGGCACATGATATATGGAAGCTATTCAAATTCAAATGACACTATTCCATTGATTTTTAAATTTTATTTGAATTATTAAAGATTTAAAATGAATTAAATTAATAGAAATTAAATAAAATAGAAAAATCAATGTTTGATCTTGAAATTAATCATGGGACACGTGTGTGGCATGACAAGGCTGAATCAAGTGGAAGAAAGTGGGCCCTTTTGTCAAAAATTGAAGTTTCAAGGATAGTTGACTTTTGCCATTTCACAAAAATTTCCCAACTTCTCCAATGCATATCTTGCTCAATATTTAAGCTTTTCTCATGTTCTTGGACATTTTGGAAAGGTCTTTGAGTCCTTTAACCAATGCCTTTGGTCCCATGTCATTTTGATTTTCCAATCTCAAGTTATGGCCTTTGACTTAAAGTCCCTTTTTGTTGACTTTTGAAAATGACCTATAATGTTGAAATTGATAACTTTTTGTGAGAGCATTTCTTGGACTTGAAGTATGAAGATGAGTTGTAGGGAATGTCTTTCTCTTCAAAATGAGCTTTGGATGGAATTTTTCTGATAATCCATGTGAAAGTTATGCCCTGGTCAATTTCAGTTGACTTTTTCAGCTGTCCAAATAAGGAAACTTTTGCATCTTGATGATTTTCTGAGCCAAATTTTGAGAATCATGATCAAGCATTGATCAAATGATGTTTGTGGCTTCAAAATGATATGTTGACCAAAAATTTGGACTTTTGACTGCCAAATGACCATTTTGCCCCTACAGTTGACTGTAGTGCAATTTAGGGTTTTGACTGTGCAATTTTGAGCTGAATGCCTTGAAACTTGATATGAGGATGCTTGACCATATTTGTAGGCATGTGAGACTTGATTGGGCCTTTGAAAACTACCTTTTCTTGGTCAGAACACAAACCCTAGTTTTGACTGTATAGGAGACAGTTGGACTGTGCAACCCTTGGGGGAGTTTTATGACTTGGCTTGGCAATTTCTTGAAGAATATGGGAGGGCAAATTTTGGGGTACAACAGTTGCCCCTGTTCAATCTTCTTAGACCTGAGGATGCAGATTGGCGGACGTGCCTTTCGTAATCTGAGGGTAGAAGATGATTGGACACTAGAGTGCCTAGAAATTTGCGCTCACATATTGGAAGTGATGGTGGAATGGGCTTATAGATGCCATCTGGATGTTTGATTGCGTAAGAGATTCCTTGGCGAGAACCTGTATACCTGCAAAACAGAAAATGAGTACTTGACACGTTGCAGGAGCTGATTTTTAGATGCCTGGTATAGATGTGTCCTGACTGGTTACAGGAGCTGAGTCTGGAGCTTCAAACGGCGATGAAAGAACCAGGGATGGTTACTACCTTAGCGTGAATGGTAAGAAAACCTTGGGCGACTTTAATTTCAACAACGCTCGTTGAGAAAAAATCTTGGGTGACTTTAACTTCAACAACGCTCGTTGAGAAAAAATCTTGGATGTCTTCTATTGGGATAAGAATCAGGGAGATCTTAGGGTCGATCTGACTGAACCAGAGAGGCCTTTGACTGGATAAGCATCAGGAAAATCTTAGGGTCGATTTAACTGAACCGGACAAGGTCTTGGAATATCTTCAACTGGATAAGCATCAGGGAGATCTTAGGGTCGATCTGACTGAACCAGAGAAGGCCTTTGACTGGATAAGCATCAGGAAAATCTTAGGGTCGATTTAACTGAACCGGACAAGGTCTTGAAATATATTCAACTGGATAAGCATCAGGGAGATCCTAGGGTCGATCTGACTGAACCAGAGAAGGCCTTTGACTGGATAAGCATCAGGAAAATCTTAGGGTCGATTTAACTGAACCGGACAAGGTCTTGAAATATCT